GAAGAAGAAGAACAACTGCAGAATGTAGCAACTTATACTTTGGGAAAGCAGGGAGGAATAGCATCAGCTCAGGCAGACACGGGCTTTCAACATTGGGAGGGTGGCTGCTCAGAGTTCAGAGAAAAGATAAGAGGTTAGAGACTCCCTTGAAGACATTCTGACTACAATTCCATCTGGTGTGGATGGTTTAGGACTGGGAGGGGTGGCCACAAGATGTTTTGTGGCTTCCCAAGGTGCTTTCTGATGATCCCCAATTTTAAAAGAATATCTATTAAAAGATGGATGGAGTTATCATCCCAGAGCGGCTAAGACCTTGACCAAGGAGTCAGAATAGGGGATAATTCCTCCCAATGACTCTGAGTAGCTGTGTGGCCTTAGACAAGTGGTGCAACTGCTCTGTGCCTTCATTTCCTTATCTTTAATCCACATGTAAGAAGTCCTTCCCAACTGGGTTGTTTAGGATAAAGAAGATAAGGTATGAAGAGCACGTTATCATGATGCCTGGCACAATGTAACTGATATGTGTGTATCTGTATTCTACAAATAGGTTGCAGAATCCACAATGTAGCTTGTAGAAACTACAATAAAAAAAAAAATACAATTTTCACCTTTTAATTGCTTTTTAATAAAAAGAGAGGAAGTAGGGAAAAAGTCAGAAACATTTCCCACAATTCTATTTTCTAGAGGAGTTTCTTCAGCATGCTTAGAGAATTCAATCAGTAGAGAAAAATGCCAATGAAAAAAAATGGAAACTCCCTGCCCCAACAAGCCTGCTGAGCTCCCCTCCCCAAACGTAACAACCGCTAACAGTTTCTTAAAATTACTTCTAGAAAACATTCCAAAACCAGTTTTATTTTTAATTAAATGACAAGATGCAAGAAAGAAAAGTAGAAGTTGGTCAGATACGGTCTGTGGTGCAATATAAATTAACAGCAGAAAAAAAACAGCACATGCACCCAATTCTCCCCCTCTTCCTCCCTCCCTCCCTCTCCCCTTCTCCTCTTTCCTCCCTTCTCCCCATCTCTTCCTGTCCTTCCTTCTCCTTTCTCCATGCCAAGTAGGAAGATGAGCTCAGTGGCCTGAGAGAACTGAAGATCCAGCCAGGAGAGGAGCCTACCACCTGCCTGGCAGGGCTAGACGAGGTCAGCAAGGTGGGCCTCGGTGATTTATCTCCGGGAGCTGGGAGGACCCAGGGAAGAAATGATGGAAATGTTACTCCTCGAATTTAAGGAACTTTGGTGTCAGGAGAACAGGCTCCCGAATCTTAGAAAGTACATCAACCTGGATGCCCCCAGTAGTCACTTCAGTGTGGGACCTGAGCACCTTCTAGAATGGGTCAGTAAAAGAGATGTGAGTAACTGGGAAAGGAGATGCAGAAAGCCCAAAATGGACCCAACACCTTCTCTTCTCTGACAGGTTCACCAGACCTAGTGTCTACTAGGAATGTTGGAGACACAGTGGATCTGGGTGTCATGAGGCACTTGACCAAGTTGCTGATGATATCCTTCGGGGAAGTAGAGAATGTGGTCTGGGGACAAAGACATTCATGTGGCTTACTAATTAGCTGGGGCACCAGAGGTGAAGGATGCTGAGGAGGGGACCTGATGGGTGGCGTCCAGGAAACATCATCCACATTATCGTATTCAGCAAGGCCGTGGTTGGCAGGAGACCTTAGTCTTATCTGATACCCTTTTTCTTTTTTAAAGGAGAATGTGCTTTAATGTTACATGTATAAATCAAAATTAAGTTTTAAATTTTTTTTAATATTTTAATAATAAAATGTTTTAATATAATTTTATAATAAAATTTAATTATTAAAAGAACATAATTGTAATAATAAAATATCCTTTTGTTGTTTCCCCACCTTAGTCCAGGGAACTTCCAAACATCTAAGTTTTTGTGCCGAACTGATTGCAAAAATGGCTAGAATTATTCCCCCATTCCTATATATCCACACTTTGCACCAAGACCTTGCAGCAGCTTCCATCAAGAGCTGTGTCCCTGTTCTTCGAACAGAGGGGTCTAGTGACTTGCCTTGGCTAATAAAATGGAGAAGTGCTGGTATGACAGACCCATTCTGAACGAACCATACTGTTTGTTCCACAGCCTCACAAATGCAAAACCTCTGCCCAGTTTACCCACCTCCTCCCTCACCCTCCTTCATCTGGCTGGTTCCTCCTCATCCATGGAGGCTCATCTCAGGCACCACTTTGCCAGGCAGCATTCCCAGGCTCCCTCCTCCAAGCCACTTCCCCCACTCCCGCCTCTCCTGCTGGGTGCCGTCGGTCCTCATCGATGGTCCCCATCGGCCTCCAGCACAGCCTGCATCCTGAGTTACAGCATCTGTGCATTCAGCTCTCCATTCTCGCTTCACTATGAATTTGTTAAAGATAGAAATCTTGTCCTTTGTCTGTTATCTCAACAACTACTTCGATTCCTCATACAGTGCTCTCCAAGTGTCTGTTCCATGGTATGACTAAGTGTACAAACAAACCCAAAACTAAAGAGAGTGTATTTAGTTTTGAAAAGAGAAGACATAAAGGATATTAATGCTACCAATTTAAGAAATATATCAGGAGCTTGGGAATAGCTACAGGTTACCAATTAGATCCTCAATGGTCCAAAGTTGATAGAGTTTCGCTCCCTTAGGCATCCACCCCTAGCAAGCAAAACACGTGTTCCCCAAAGCAGAGGTCACCACTGATGAAAACTACTGTATCTGACAATATCCCATGAAGTCTGTCTTTCAGGTGGGGACCAAGATCATGCAGCGCCATGTCTGGGAAGCCTCGCTTCCAACCGCAACTGAGCTGCTGTTTCTATCACTTTGAGGAACCGGGGAAAGGCAATCCTACACACAATATGATGAGTGCGCAGACAGCATTAATTGGTCACCCCGAGGAAAAGACTCCAAAGTATCATGGTAACTTTCTTCAAAGAATTTTTGAAGGGTTGTCATATGGAAGAGGAACCCTGTATCTATGATCCTAAAAACGCAGAGCGAGGACCAATGGAGGTTGAAGTTGCATAGATACATGCATGGGTGGGTCTCCTAATCCTTAGATTTGTTTTAAAATGGAGTGAACAACTCTTAAGAAATAGTACCCTTTTTTGTCCTTGGAGATGTCCGAAGAGAAATTGGCTGACAGCCTATCAGCAAAGTTGCAAGGAAGTTTCATGCTACGGAGTCCCCTCTGCTTGACGATTCAGCAAAAGATAGTTCTATTTGGGAATTACCATGTGCCCACTTCCCACAAACGATCTGCACTGATGACAAGTACCTGCCTAGGCTGGTAAACATGTGTGATGATATCTGCCTAACTCCGAGACTCTCTTTTCACGCAAACAGCATTTCAGCCTCAAACATATTTACAGAGCACACCATCCTCCGGCCGGACTAGACAGACCAGGGCTGGACACGTGACACAAGTCTGAATTTCAAAGATGGAAATCTGGGTATTGTGGGGCAACTGCCTTCGGACATGCCCACAGTGGGCCACAGGAAGCTGCTCTGCTGAGAAATAAACAAATAAATGCTGACCGAGCGAATACTATGTGCCAGGCACTGTTCTAGGCGTGGGCGAGCCTGCAGGAAACAAACCAGATAAAATCCCTGCTTTCATGAAGCTCACATTTACTACGGGGCCAGGAAACAAAGATAAGAGGCAGAGAGAGAGAGAGAGAGAGAGCAAAAGAACCAGGCCTGAGTTTCCTGGCAGGCCCCTGAGAACTGCCTGTGGGTTCTGTGAGAAACCCCAATGGTTCTCCCATAAACTTCCTGCTTGCTTATGCCAACCCGAGTTGTTTTCTGTTATTTGCAACCCCGAGGGCCTTTAACCAAGATTCCATATGAAATGCATTTGGCTTCACACCCATCCTCTTCACAACCACTTTGAGGCAGGTGAGCAGGGGATCTTTTTAAGATCAATGGGTCAGAAGCTGGTGGAAGAGAAAAAGAAATTTTGCTGGCCATCCTTCCACCTACCCGTTCTCGAATTTAGGGGCTCTGGCTCTCTACTTTCCATAATAAGGAAGACCGAGGGAAGCTGCTTCCCCAGATATTCCGGATGGCAGAGCAAAGGTTACATGATAGGCAGAGTTTCAGGCTCTCCACCGCATCCAGGTATTATTGTTATTTAATATTCCTACAAAACTGTGTGATAAGCAAAGAAGTACATTCTCCACCCAGGCTTACAATAATAAATAAAATCATTCCAAAACAAGGGGAATAAAAGTTCGTCCCCTCAAGAGCTTAGAGGGGAGAGGCAAGTCGAATAATACGGGACAGCAATGTGACCTGAGATGTGTTCAGGAAGTTTTCAATAGACCATGTCCCAGTGTGGTCAGGTTTCCAGGGGCTTTCTGAGAGTGCCCAGGGAGAGCTGTGTAGACGGCCCGGGGCCAGCGTGCTTATGGGGGGGGGGGGGCGGGGGGCGTGCAGGTCCTAGGACCGTGTGTACCCCTCCTCCAAGGAGCCTCTGGTCCTCAGGCTTTAAGTTTTGGAATGTTCAATTTATTAAGAAAGAGGGTAGGAGACTTAAAAAATAAAAATAAAAATAAAAAAGCACCTTCCCATTTCACCAAATCTGCTTTTATTTTAATGACTCTGAGATGCAGATCTTCTTTCAATATTCTGCTTGCTGATTAATTTCCTGTTGACTCTGAAGGTAACTGAAAACCTCTTGGATGAAGCAGAAATAGCCCTAATGCAAGTGATTCTTAGTAATGGGACTGAGTCACTTGGGACAGCCTTCAGGGGCTTCCTCTAAGCTCCGCGTGAGTGGGTGGTTTTTGGCACTTGACAATTTAAAATGTGTCCACTCATAAACATGTTCAACATAAAGTCATTCCCCTCCCTCTTCCAGTGTCCTGGGAGGGTCCAGCTCATGTTCAATTCTGCAGAAGCAGCCCTAGCTGAAGTTGTGAAATCGGCTCTGTCTGCCCTCATCCTCCTCCCCGACCCCCTATCTTTGACTTTTCCCATCAGTCTTGACATTTACCTCTCTCTCCATGTCCAGGTTGCTCATTTTTCTGTATTTACCCAGTTATCACAACCTGCAGAAAGAAAACTCTTTTATATCAGCCATGTACACTTGAGTATGAACTTAAGTCAGATTACTTCTCCTGGGGGCACCCACATATAAACCCTTGCATTTGAAGGACAGGGAGGTTTAAGGCAAAAGGCAGTGGGATGATTGTTCAAAGACTCCAAACCCCTCCGGCTGGGTTTCCTGGGCCAGGCACGTCACTTCTTAGCCTTGATTTATTTTTTTAATTCTATACCATCAGACGTTCAACTAGATAATTTCTAATAGAAGGGGGTGATATTTGAGGAGAGCTGGAGTCTCCTCAGGTCTTGGAGCCAATCACATATGTTCAGCCTCTTTCATCTAAATGCCAAGGGATCCGAAAGCACCTTCTAGCAGCTGAGATCCAATGTCTGCAGATTTTCTGTCTGGGAAAGTTCCTGCCAGGATTTTATGCAAGGAAAGCCACATTTATTATTCTGGGTATTTATTCACACCTAAAGTTCCTAATACTAACTTTCTCATGCTACCTAATACAGCGTGATCACCACGAAGTCAGTTTAAAACTAAGACATGTAGGAGCACACAAGCCCTAAGCTCTCCATGGAACTGTAGGCTGCCTCTTGGCCCCATGTAGGCGCTTCCCACATGGCTCTCCAGACAGGATGGAGGTTTCCAACCATGGTTGCACAGAAATCCCCCGAGGAGCATTTAAAGAAGGGCCGTGCCCAGGTCACCTCCTGGACCAGCTACGTCAGCCTTTCTCTCTGCAGTGAGGCCAGACAACAGTATCTGAAAATCTTCGTAATTCCAGTTTTCCTGAGAATCGAGGACCCCTTTCAGGACGTATATGCAGGACCCAGAGATCACCTGAGGTACAGTGCATCTTCCAACCCCTGCCCGGCTGAAGGAGCTATTCTACCTCACCTTTCTTCTTTTTCTCAAAATCTATGTAGATTAAGAAGTCTCCGTTTTATGACCTTGTTTCACTGGGGAAATCAGACTTTGTATGTACCTTCTTCTATCTACCTTGAATAACCCGCATGTCAGCCTCTGGGGCATCCCAGTCCCTCAGACTCTGGGGTCTTCCTGTCCTTTAAGATGCTCAATTAAATTTAAGTATTCACCCGATATATCTGAGGATTCCTAGGCACCTGCATTTCCGTCGACACCTCTTCTTGCTTTCCCTAAACTATTTCTCTCTACTCTCTGTGTTATCTCCTGATGCCATCATCCATTTTTCCCATTTTTCTCCATGGTCGACACCCTCCCTATTCCTTCATTCCCTCAAAGCACCACACAAAACACTGTGTGTGTAACAGGTTTTATGGATAGCTGAGTGCTAATGAAGAGTATTATCACACGGAACAGCCCAGGCATCAACTTAAAATTGAACATCAGACTTCCTCATCCTAAGATCCAGCAGCCATGGAAAATTCCAGTCACATAGAAGTATTTTTTTTTTTTTGGCCACACCCACATGAGAGACTTTGTCTTCTTTTCTCTTGCTGTTAGACTCTATTCCTTCAAATTCCTGATCATTTTTTAATGCAAGGAAATTCACCTTTCAAGATCTTAGGCTAAACCTAGCCTCTGCTGACTTTAATACATCTCTCTATGCTCATTTGCTTGTCAAAACAGAGGGCCAAAAGCATAAAGGAATGCACAGTGGTTAATAACATTTTCCTTCTAGGGTGCCTGGGTGGCTCAGATGGTTAAGCGTCTGCCTTCGGCTCAGGTCATGATCCCAGGGTCCTGGGATCGAGTCCCGCATCGGGCTCCCTGCTTAGCGGGAAGCCTGCTTCTCCCTCTGCTTCTCTCTCTCTGTGTGTCTCTCATGAACAAATAAATAAAATCTTAAAAAAAAAAAAAATAACATTTTCCTTCTAGCCTGGTCACTGTTCTGAGCAGAGACACTTGCGAGGTCATGGCTTCCATGGGTCTGCTCTCCTAGTTCTGCTGCCCCCATTCTGGTCTGATCTCAGTTTCTTGATGTAGCAATCAGTCTATGGCTGAGGAGCTACGTGATCTCTGCTAGGTGCTGGTGGGGCCAGCAGAACATCAGAGCTGGGAGGGACTCAAGGAGAGCCCAGCTTCTCCATGTAGGGGTGAATCAAATCAAGAGCAGCCCGGTATCAGCCCAGGAGAGTGGCGTGCCTCATGCTGGGCACTCAGGCCTCCTTGATTCACATGCAGATGTACAGCAGTGTGGCCTTGGATGAACTTCTCTGTGTTATTATTAGCTTCGCAGCTAATAATAGAATCCATCTCATCATGCAGATAGGATAAATGAATTATTGCATGCAAATGCACTGGGAATAGTGTTTGAACACAGTACACGCTCAATCTTATTATGACCTAAGGTCCACAGCCGGTGAGGAAAAAACAGAATGAGAATCCAAGCCTTTTGACCTCCTGTCCCCTGTACATCCTACCCCACCACGTAATAAAAGGTAACACAGGTGAGTTCACAAAATCTTGCCATCTAGCTGTGTGAACAAAACCAAAACATCTAAAACAATCAGGGGCAACCATTAAGGAATGACTGATGGAATAAAGCAGTGATTCCTAATAATAAATCTCTTTATATTTATACACATACACATGCACGCACACATGCACACACACCCTGTTAAGTTCTGTTTCTCTGGAGAACCCGGGCTAATGGGGTCCCTCATGTACTCCCCTATTTCTTAACTCTCTCTCTTCTCTCTTGACTTCCTGTGATCCTTTGTCTTTTAATCCTCTTCCCCCTGTTCTTGCAGGGGGGGTTCCCCGGGAACCAGAGCCTGGGGCACAGAGTGTTTATTAAGTTGTACCTTGGGTGTCCACAGCTGTGAAAAGGAGGACTTTATTATGTGCCAGGCTGGACCCTTCTGGTGCCTCCCCTCACTGACACAGCACAACGATCCAGTCAGGCCAGTTCTATGAGTCCTGCTCTACAGATGTGGAAGCCAAGGCTTGGAGAGAGGAAATGACTTGGCCAAAATGACATAGATAATGTTCTTGGAGCTGGGACTCAGGCACAGGCCTTCCAACCCAGAGCCCAGGGGAGCAGACCCGCAGACCATGACTCCCTCTCACTGCTCTGCCCCCTGAAGCATCCTTTCTCAGAAACGCTTCTCTCCCCTGCCACCCACCATCTACAGGCAGAACACTTCCCAGTCTGTCACCACTACATCCCTCTTCAGCACCATGACCCAAATGCCGGTGTTGGTCAGTTTTATAAAATATAGCTCTGCTTTTGCCTTTGCTTCAATCCCTCCCCAAAAGAGACCAACTATCCCCTCTCCCTGTCACAAATACTTATACAGCCTTTTTCTTGCTAATTCCCATGTTAGTTTCCTTTCCATTTCTAGCTACTTTTATATCTGGACTGCGGAATTTCCAGCCTTCTTTATAGCCCCCTAGCCTACTCCTACTAAAAATATTCAGCACAGGGTAAGGCAAACCTTTGTCCTCTTCTGCTGTGTTTCCACCCCCGGTCTTCCAGAGTATAATTATCTCACTCTGAAAAGCCTTCATCAAAAGAGCTTGCTTGCATTTTCTTTTCCTTTCTAAGGCCAAATTCCTTAGTATAGATGTATTAATTATCTATGGCTGTGTAACAGTATTACAGCAAAATTACTAGCTTAAAACAGCACACATTAATTATCTCACAGTTTCTATTTGTCAAGAGCCCAGGAACAACTTAGTTGGGTCTCCTGGCCAGTGTCTCACAAGGCTCTAATCGAAGTATGGATTGTGGCTGCAGTCTCATATGAGGCTCTCCTGGGGTAGGATCCGCTTCTGAGCTCATTCAGTTGGCTGCAGCATTCAATGCCTTGTAGCTGAAGGACTAAGCACTTTGGATTCCCATTGGCTATTGGCCAGAGGCTGCCCTCAGCTCCTTGTTGTAACATAGCCTCCACAGACAGTTCACGACAGTGGCAGTTGTCTTCTTCAAAGGCAGCAAAGGAGGGGGTCTCCTTGCAAGTTAGGAATTACAGTTGTATTTACTGTGATCACCTACACATAACCATAGTCCAATTACCTCTGCTGTGTCCTATTGGTTAGAAGCAAGCCACAGGGTCTATCCACACTCAAGGAAAAGGATAAGGGTATGAATACCAGGAGGCAAAGATCATGAAGATAAGACTCCTTAGACCTCGTCTTCTACAATGGGGTGTGAGCACCACCACCCCTCACTGCTCATACTGAATGTTCCCTCTTCTTTCCACACATCCACTTCCTGCCTCCTGGTCTTTGCCCAGATTGCCCCAAATTTGGAGGGCAAGGGAAGTAAAATTTCTTCCACCTCCAACCCTTATCCTAAGGACAGGAAAGGCATTTGGGCAGAAGCCCTTCATTGTCAGTTAAGGTAATACAATTTGTCAATGTAACCCAGGGTAAAAAGGGGTCAAATTCCACGCCCCCAACATAAAAGGGGCTCAGCACAAATTTACATGAAATAGAGTCAAATGAATGTAGATGAGAGGAATATGAGTTTTTCATGCTAAACAAATGGCTATAGTTGGAAGGAAATGAACCCTGTTATGATGAGGTGAGTTTAGTTTCGGAGATTCAAAGAGAGAATAAACCATAAGCCAGAGTGGAAGCCCTTCCACTCTTTTCCACTGGCCCAAACTCACCCCTATATATATATATATATATATATATATATATATATATATAGGTATATATATATATATATAGGTATAGTGTATATATATATATATATATACACTACCCCTCTCTAACCCAGTCATCTCAGAGACCAGAATTCACTCTTTTTGCTGCTGAACCTGCAGAGGTTAAGCTGAGGAGAAAGGCCGTTACAGAGGATGCAAAAAACAAGAAAGGACCAAATGGTATAGTGCTTGATTATGTCTCTAGGGAGTGGTGAGTTTTACCTTAGGGGAAAAAGGGTATGTGAGAGTGTAAACCGGAATTAGTTTCAGCTGTAAAAACCACAAAGTTCCCAAATAAGAATGACTTAACCAAAAACGAAGATTGTCTCTGCCTCATGCTCAAGAAGTCTGGAGATAGCCAGAGCAGGTTGGCAAATAATCCCCAGGGGGCAGAGAAGCATACCCTTCTTCTACGCTGTGCTGCCGTGTGCGACCTCCATTCCCAAGGTCACTTCATGGTCAAAGTGACTGCCAGAACCCCTGCCTTGTACTCCATTTAAGGACACCGTGTGGAAGCTACACACACAGACTTCCGTTAACATCTCCCTGGTCAAAAGCAAATCATATAGTCACACCTGGCTGCAAGAGAGGCTGGGAGCTGTAGTCTTTATTCTGGTCAGCTAAGTGTCCAGATAAAAATCATTCACTTCAAAGGAGGTGAATGCCTGCTGGTGGACCACAAGCATCCTCTTGCCCAGGTGTGGTGACTGAAGATGCAACCCCTGCCTGCCCCTGACAGCCTCCCCGTCAAGTGCCTGCAGGTCTGCCTCAGCTGCAGAGATGCCCGACCCAGGGACTTGTCCACACTCAGCGGCTGAGATGAGGGCATGGAAGTTGGCCTTTCAGCCAGGTGTGGGACAACTCTGACAGGCCATTTGAGCTCCAGAGCCCCTGGGGGCTCAGCTGAAGTTGCCGTTGGGGAGCTTTGAGGTTCTACTTCTCCTTCATCTCAGTCCTGATCCCACTTCCTCCTTTTCACAGCTGTGGACACCAAAGGTACGACTTAATAAACACTCTGTGCCCCAGGCTCTGGTTCCCGGGGAACCCCACCTGCAAGAACAGGGGGAAGAGGATTTAAAGAGAGAGGGCCACAGGAAGTCAAGAGAGAAGAGAGAGAGTTAAGAAATGGGAAAGTATGTGAGGGACCCCATTAGTCCGGGTTCTCCGGAGAAACAGAACTTACAGGGTGTGTGCGCATGTGTGCATGTGTATGTGTATAAATATAAAGCGATTTGTTATAAGGAATTGGTTTGCTGGTGGGCTGGCAGGCTCAAGACCCAGGACAGCTGATGGTGCAGCTGAAGCCCAAAGGCAGTCTTGCTGGAGAATTCCCTGTCGTTGAGGGAGGCTGGGTTTTTTTGTTCTCTTTAGCCTTCAACTGATTAGATGAGGCCCACTTGCCTTATGCGGAGTAGTCTGCTTACTCAAAGTTCCCAAATTTAAATGCTAATTTCATCCAAAAATACCTTCCACGTTGACACATAAGATAACACTCAGAGACAACCTCTGGAGATCTGGGAAGCTCCCTTCTCGAACCTCCACAGATCTCCCTCCATCCCCCAAAACACACATGCATACATGTACACAGGGCAAGGTGGTGGCCATTTGCACCTAGGGTGGTTCAACAGAGCAAGATCCCTGATTCCAGCATCCCCTATGATGCCCTGAAAAGCTGTCAGACTTCACAGAAAGCCTGGGTAAAGAACCCTTCCAGGTATTGCATATTAACTTCAGGAAATGTGACAGGCGTTGGGATCCAAAAGGACAAAATGGAGAGTGTCTCCCTCCACCCAGGGCAGAGATAACGTTTGGAGCTCCCATGGAGCATGGATGTACGGACAATAACCAAGCCGGGAAAGGTCCTTCTTCCCTGCCTTCCATGCCCAGGTGGGAAAAGAAAAGAAGAGGCCATCAGGAAGATTCAGCAGGCAAGAGTCTGAGCTGATGCCCAGCACACCCTCCTGGCTCAGGGCTGGCCTGGCGCCGGTCAGGCTTCCCTGCCCAACTCCATCCATTCTTTACCATCCTTAGCCTATTTGTCCTCTTACAACTCCTTTGTGTTCTGTTAGATTTAAGTATGTATTATAGTCATTTTTGTCTTTTCTGTTAGATGATTGGCAATCCAACTAGAGTGATGATGTCCACTCTTTCATAGGTACTTACAAGAGCCAAGGATCGTTTTACTTCTCACGTGCACTCAAAAAAGTCAGGACCAAGATCTTATCATTAGGAATGCAAATTATAACAGAAGGCGTGTCAGTCATACGTTACCATGACTTTCCTGCCCCACCCCCAAAAATGTGTATATACTCTATAAATGATTGTGGGAGATGTAGAAAAAAGCAATTACTTGTCCTCCTTTTCTTTGTGAGGATATATCCAAGATACAAGAAAAGAAACTTAGAAGACCCAGAAGAGAGTTTAAAGCAGGGCAGCTTGTGCTGATTAAAAAGCCCAGCCCTCCTGGGAGCCAAGACAAAGAAGTAACATGATTTGTTCATAGTCAGACAGCTCGTTAGTTGTGGAGCTGGGTTTTTAACACAAGTCTTAACTCCCAAGATATGCTGTAAACTCAGGTTTCTTGGCTTCTTATTTCCATTCAATAAACCCATTCGTTTTCACAAAAGTAGTATCACATGCCAATGGGACTTTCCAGTGTTTGCTGATGGACTGGCAGATGGTACTTAGACTCTCACTGAACCCTGAATTTTCTTCTCACTACATCCACAGCAGGGTCATCAGTACCCTTGCCGGGCACAGGGCGGGGAGAGGATCCTGCTAATGCTTCCCACTAGCAGCCCCAACAGCCCCAATGTTTAGGGACTTGCAACACCTGGCATTTTATTGGATTATATAATAGTCATCTCCTCCCCACCCCAACCACCATCACAAGTGCAATCAGGCACATCAAAATGACTTTTTAAAAAAAAGTGGTTAGCATACCTCCTTGAGACAAACACAGCTATGCTCCTGGTGTTGCAAACAAACAAAGGCCCTCACAGCCCCTCCCTCCAGGAAAATTAATAATACATGAGGATTTTCAGGAATTGCTAGAAGTGTGACACCCACCCTTTCCAGATTTCCCGGAAGAATTATTCGTTTCTGACAAATAAGTTCATTTAAGCATGTAATGAAATTTGATTTGATTTTTAGACCTTTGTAAATGTTTCATGTCCATCAAACCGTGCATCGGAAAAAATAACCCTGGGTTGGACCCTGTGGGGGATCTAACCGGGTGTAAAGAATGAACTAGAACAGGAGAAAGCAGCCTGAGCGCCTCCACGCAGGTCTGGTCTCCAGCTCCGTCCATTCCCCCACCCCCACCCCCCTCCAGCCTCCAGGGCACCGGCCACAGGAAGGCAAACACCTACACTCCCACCTGGCCCCCAACTGTGGGGAGCCTGCTGCTCTCTTCCCACAAAGCAAATTTCATTTTGCCTTTTGCAGAAGATGAATGTGACTCATTTTCCCTGCTGAGGGTTATGTGATGACCTGCTATGAGCCACATATTCAACTGAGTCATGAGTGCTGAAATGCTGGTTGTGCCCACTCAATCACATTTAAGGCTCAGAAGTTCTATAAAAGCCCAAACCCACAAAAGCAACTTGATGGCAGGGCTCAGACCAGGTCAGCTGCAAGGTGGGGGGGGGGGGGGGGAGTCTCACCGCTGTCCCCTCGGCCATTTTCCCCGAGCCCCGCCCAGACCCTTCCCTGTCCTTCCCTCTCTCTCCATGCCTGCAACTCCAGGCTGGTCAAATCTGGGTTTCAATGCACCAGCATGACTGACCCTTTCTTGAGGAGGCTTCTATCAGTTTCTGGCTGCAGGAATGAGGACCTCACCAACAACCCTCAGCAGAGCACACCGTGCTCCCAACTTTTCTTCCTGTCAACTTCCGATTCATTTCCTGTAAGCCGTAACCCCTTCTGGGGAACATTAATTAGCCACCATGTTTTTTTTATCAGAATTCTAGGAAAGTGACATCTGTATGACTCACACTTCTGCAGTTTAAAAAAGTATTTACTCTATTTGATTGAGGCAGATGGCGTTTTGTGCTAGATACTTACTGTATGGATTTACGACCATCCGTGACCATTCTGGGAAAGAAAAAAGAATCAGCACTATTAGCTGTGAAGAGGCTTCACCATATCACTAAAACTGAGTGAAAACATATGGGGTGAAATATCTCTAAATGATCTCATAAATGTCTATTTAGAAATACAACAGACTTCCTTTATAATGCTGGTTTCAAGAATAAAGTTAACACCGCCCTTAGTCATTATATTCTGCCACTTGTGGCTTGATAAGAGGGTGATTTTACAACCTATATTGTCATCTATCTAAAGGGTTTTACAATCCATACAATCATAAGCTTGTAAAATAAACTATGCAAATTTATGTGGGCCAGGGTCTAAATTAATTCAGGTCTAAATAAATCAAACCCTAGCTAGACCGTGATTTAATCAAAAATTGAAAATATGACTCATAGCACTTCAGTGTGCTGACGTGTCCTGCCAAAAGAAGCATCGTTGCTGTGACAGAGACAAATGCTGGAAGGGCTGGTAGATTCTTCAAGGTCTAAATAGGGGGAGGTATCAAGATAAACATGGCATTATAAGAGTTCCTACAATTGCTCAACTCCATGTCTCGAGGGCAGGTTCAGAACAAGGAAGCTCACAACGTTCGTCCCGCAAATCCACAGATACGTACTTGATTGTCAGTTTCTCTCCCTGTGGTTTCAGGTTTTTATGGTTCTCCTCACCTTCTTGTGAATATGTATATCATTTTGTTCAAACTTTATTTTTGTTCCTGTTTTTACTTCGTAGATCATTACTTTTATCAACTCTCTTCTCCCCTTCTATTTTCCAAAATAGCTTCACCACCAGCAGCGCCCCTCCAATGTCCCAGGGGCTTGTGCAAATCTGACTGTGTAGGAGCCTTCCTTCCCCTTCACCTGGCTGAGCTCCTTCTTCAGCCTTGTGTCCCCAACAAGGACCTGTGACCACGGCTGGGTGACCCCGGGCAGGAAGCAGATTCAGGGCAGGGCATGTGGGGCAGGGATGTCTGAACCCCAACCAGGACCCAGGAGCAGATGGGCACGTATTGGGACAGCCTCTGAAACCTTGGTGCTCCTGGAAACCTTGGGGCACACAGCCTGGCCACCACAGATCTGTATCTGACTCCCACGTCCCAGACAGTGTAGGCAGAGAGGAAGCTGCAGCCGCAGGAAGACGCCAGGGAGGTGAAGTTTGTGTCCATCCCAGCTCTCCCCTCTTGTCTACGTGCGGCCCACCCGCTCCACCCCACTCACGACTGGCTCCTCCTCAGAGTGCTCTCCGGACAGGGCCATTTTGCAATAGAGTCTTCCCCCAGTTTTTCCAATTAAAATCTTGCCATCACATTGGTGTTTTGAGAAGAGTCTTTCATGCAAAGGAGTCAGGAATTCGGGAGTTTGGGGTTCTCACCCTCTGGTAGGGTGAGAAAGGGAATTCTCGTTGAAGTCGAAAGGTACTTGGGTGTCCACCAGACCAGACAGGGCTTCTGGATCCATGCTCTACCCTTCCATTCCTCCGCAGCGGGCTGGCTCTGAGAGCTGCAAGGATTGGGAGAGGTTCTCCCACAGAGGCTGGGAAACACTGGGGCTCGTAGGGGAGGACAAGTGTCGGGATGCTGACACTTGCTTAGGAGATGCAAATCTCTGAATTAGTGTCCCTTCCTTTGGTCCTTCTTCCCCAAGTTCCTGAACAAATTTTGAGAGACTCAGAGAGAAACACAATATTTAGGATCAAGTTGGAGATGCCCCAGAATTTTCCTCAAGAATACCCAAAACCTAAGGGCCTAGACACCCCCTCACTGTGACCAACCAGGACGGGAAAGGAGGGAAATCAACAGTTCCTAAAATAACACAGGCCAGAGCCTTGGCGAATGAATCTTACCTCCTGTGGGTTGATCTGATGACCGTGATGAACTCCTGAGGAGACGCGCAGAAGCAAGCCTTCTTCCTTCTCTTCATTCCAACTATCCCACAGGTGGCCACCCAGCGAGCTGAGGAAGGCCCATCCATGAGCCTGTGGCGCCACCTAGCAAAAACCAGAAGGTACTGGAGACACACTGAGCTGGGAGGTTTTTGGGTTTTGTTTTGATTTGGTTTTTTTCCACAACCAGAAAAAGGGGGTTTCCATTTCATTCACGGAGTTCTGGGAAATGGAATTTGTACAAAACCTTTCTTGCACATGATGGAAAACATGTATTAGCATCTAATGAGAGAATTTGGCCCAAAGGCAATTGTAATCAAAACATGAGGATAAGAGTTTAGTTCTCTAAACTTGCATTTGTTTCCCCCAGTAACAGCTGTGACTCTGCAGTTTTTGCTTCAAGAAGAATTTGATTTTGCCTTAAGTATTACATTTTGAAAACTGACAGAGCCACCATTTCTCCTGTTTTCTTTTCTTCTCCTTTTTTTTCCCCCCCTTGCTCTCCCAGGTCAGAGTTACCTCTGAGTGATGCCTGTAAGTCTTGCAGGGAAAACAGGCTCACCGAGGACAGATTCTATAGGCAAATTTAGGTACAGTTCAGTCAAGGGGACATTCTGACAATTTTATGATGTCACTGTGCCCCTTTGGGTCAGGGGACGGAGATGAGGTTTCCCCTGTTCCCGCAAACCCAGCCCCATAAGGAAACATTTGCCACGCATAATGAAACCCCAGCTTATCAAGGGATCCAGGTACACCCGAACCATAAATGGACATGGCCCTGCACAGAAAGCTGCAGCAGCCTCCCATCAGAGATGCCTGAAGGTCCAAAGGGAAACAGAGACTCAAGGATGTACCTCAGCTTCTGGCCAAAAGCTCTTTTGACGACCACATTGGGAAAAGGCCAGTCTTTGCCTTTGAAAGGGTCAGGAGAGCATAGGGGGTATGACCACGGACTCTGGAACCAAATGCCTAGGTTCCATGTTTGCTTCTTTTAATTTAAGCCTCGCCTCAGTTCTCTGTACAAAAAAAGATCATTCTAGTACCTGATGTTTCCGCAGGGTGAAGATTAAATGAGATAAACCATATAAAACGCTTAGGATAAGGCCTGGCATATGGCAGGCGCTTCATAAATATTAACTAGTGTTTAATTATCTCAGAGTTTAAAGAAACACACCTAAATTTCCTTGCACTCTAATAAACCAATTGTGGTTTTCTTTTGCATCTGAAGGTTTTTGTTAACTAGCCTTGCCAACCGTGTGTAGCCCCCCTCAGTGGCAAATTCTTTGGATATTCCCACACTGACAGCAGAAACAGGAGGAAATATGCAGCCTTAAAAAATTCTTTTAGCAGGAAGCATGCAAAAGAGTCTGAAGACCACCAATCTATCTCAAATGGATGCTCAATTAATGCCGTTAGAGGATTGACAATCAGCGCGGTTTCTTTTCATTTGCCTTTATGATCGTTCTGCAAACCCCAGCACTGTCTCTGGTTGATTCAGTGAACGTTCCTGAACAGTCTGATCACAATAAGGCTCTCTTTCATGCTCTATCTATTAGATTTGAAGTTTCTTAAGTGCAAGGATCCTGCCTAGCCACTCCATGCCCCTGAGCGACTAGACACTGTTGTGTGCTTTTGTATTAAACACCTAGACAGTTTGAAAAGTGGTAATTTGGAGGCAGATATTGCTCGTCCACTGAATGGACACTACAGCCAAATGGCAGTAAGCCTTGACTTTTGGAGCATCTCTGCGGGGTCCGCCTCTATGTGCTGTCGTTGGACCTGGTCTAGTATCGTCATCCATCAGTGCCTCACAAGAATCAGATTACAACGCAACATTACAGACAGCCCGTTTCATAGCAAGTGGCAAACTGATGTCTTTTCCCGCAAGGTGCAGGCCTGACGAATTTACCGGAAAGCCTTTGACACAATTGAGTAATGCCAGTGAAACAGCACTTTATCTTTAGAAGTCATGGGATACACATCAACATACAAGACTTTTCAAGCTGCAGCCAGAGCGTAGTGCGTCCTCGAGCTTCACTGACCAAGCCAAATGAGGTTGTGCTCGGGCATCGGTGGTGGGGAAAATGCATGACGAGTTTCAGATGTCTCGTATCTTTGGCTTCATGTGGCTTTTTAATGTAGCTCTAATTGAATTGCAGAGCAAAGATTATGAATATTAACTTGATCGAGCAACAGGGTAGTCTACTCTCTTCCTATTTTTTTATACTCGTCCTGCAGCTATGTTGCATGATCACACATTCTCATCTGAATCGGGTCGATAGTCCTTGATGAAAAATTCTTACAGACTCCTTATGGTTGGGAAGACATGGACAGATGTAAAGGGCTTTTTTGACTGTTATCATCATTTAGCATTTGCTTCCAAGTCTAGCTGCAGTGTTCATTCGAGGCATACCCAGAAATACCGTCTTCATCCGTTTATAATGACATACGTATGTAATAGCAATTACAATCCCTGAGATCTTTGGACTTAGGGAACAGCCCTTTACAAGTGAAAACTCCGTTCATGGTAATTTGAGCCCAGGATCTCCTTCCTTATCATTACCTTATAGTGATATACTGGAGCCAGGAAAGAACCTTCATGTACCTTCATACCAAACCAACTTCCTGCCTCTGATATGCCCCAGGGATCTAATGAAAGATAACGCTGTACAAATGATCTATTTGGCTGCAAAATATGGTCAAGTACATATGCACATACACTTGAAGATAACATGATTTTCTGAATTCAGTATAATTCCAATCAAAATTCCCCTGGGCTTTCGGGGAAACTTGGCAAGCTGATTCCAAAATATGTATGAAAGAACAAAGGACCGAGAATAGAGAAGACACGCAAAAAGAAGAAGAACCACATGGGAGAATTTGACTTCCAGATATTAAAATTATTCTAGGGCTAAAGCAATTAAGATAGCATGGTATTGGTGGGGAAAAGTGTAGATGGACTAGTACAGCAGAATATAGAGTCCAGAAACAGGTCTACATTTGCAGAGAGATGGGACTGTTTTTTTCTAAAACTGACACTGCAGCTGCCTGGGGGAAATATTTTTTCAGTATATGGGTATGGGGAAAACAAATTACCCATATGTTTAAAAAATAAAATTGAAACCCTCACACTACAACTTCTGGTATATTAAAAACTTAAATATAAGAGTAGAACTATAAAATTTATCAAAGATTAATATACTGGTATAACTTTAGGATTTTCTGGTTTGTAAATATTTCTTTGAAAAAATATGTACTATAAATGATTCTTAAGATGAGATCAACTATATTAAAATTAAGAGTTTATTTCCTTAAAAGACACAATAAAGAAAGTAAAAAGGTAAGGCAGAAACTGGAAGAAGGTATTTGCAACACAAAGGATTAACCTCCAGAATAAAGAATCCCATAAATCAATAAGAGAAAGACAACTTAACTGATAAAAGGGCAAAAGTGTTAAATGTGTATTTCTCAGAAGAGAAAGAAATAGGCAATAATATATTATTTTGAGCAATTTTATTAGAAATTAGAAAAAAAATACAAATTAAAACCACAATGATCAGATACCATGCCCAGAAGCAGTAAGAATCCTGATAATAACCAATGTCACTGAGAATGCACAGCAAGAGTTCCACTTTGGAAGATAATTTGGCACCATCTAGTAAGTTGGAAGAATGGATAAACTCTCTGACTCAGTAATTCCACCCCAAGGTATAGTCCCTTGGGAAACTCGTGCACTGTGAACTAGGAGACATTTGGAAGAATGTTTCATAGCAGCACAGTTTGTTTGTAACTGGAGAAAGAACTCTGATAACAGACCGAATGTTAATAAACAAAAGGATGGATAAATAAACTGTGGCATATTCACAATGAATACATCAATGAATAAATCAAAAAGCTGCACTCATCAGGGATGGAATTCAGAAAGAAAACTCGTTGAGTGTAAAAACAAGTAGCAGAATATAGGCAGAATGACTTCATTTACATAACATTCAAGAACATGCAAAACTACACAGTATGTTCTGTGGGGATGTAAGTATACGAGATAAAGCTATAGAGAAAAGCAAAGGGATGATGAATACAAAAATCCAGATAGCAGTTCTCTCTGCCAGAGAGTCAGGAAGGACCGCACTGAAGGTTGGCAAATAATGGTAATGGTTTTTCTTAAGCTGGGCACTTGGTAATGGACTACTATCGTGTGATTATCATTTAAACTACCCACATTTTAAAAATATTTTTATTTTGAAATAGTTTTATATTCGCATAGAAATTTTAAAAAGAGCAAAGTGCATGCCCATGTATCCTCCATCTAGCTTCCCCCAGTGATTAGTATAGTTCAATGATCAAAACCAGAAAGTTGACCTTGGTGCCACACTATGAACTAAACTGCAGACCTTATTCAGATTTCACTGTTTTTTTACATGGACTGTTTGTGAGTGTGAGCGTGCATGTGTGCGTACTTCCAAGAAGTTTTATCGCAGGCACAGATTCCTGTAACGGCCACCACAGTCAAGATACAGAACTTCTGGGCGCCTGGGTGGCTCAGTCGGTTAAGCGACTGCCTTCGGCTCAGGTCATGATCCTGGAGTCCCGGGATCCAGTCCTGCATCGGGCTCCCTGCTCGGCGGGGAGTCTGCTTCTCCCTCTGACCCTCCTCCCTCTCATGCTCTCTGTCTCTCATTCTCTCTCTCAAATAAATAAATAAATAAATAAATAAATAAATAAATAAATAAATAAATAAAAGATACAGAACTTCTCCATCATCACAAATAAACTTGATAGTCATACCCTCCCCCCAGCCCTAATCCCTAGCAACCGTTTGTCTGTTCTTATTACTGTAATTTTGTTACTGTGTTTATTTTTTAAAATGTTCTTTTGTATCTCTTTAATACTTAAGAAAAAAAACTTCAAAAGGGAGGAATGCTTAGCACATGGACAGGAGATCCTCACCATCTGCCTCAGCCTATGTGGTGAGGTTTGCTGAGTTGCTGGGAACTTCATGGTCCCCACAACTCACCTTCCTCGCCGCCTAAGAGACCTGGGTAAAGATAAAGTGCACTTTTTTCTCGTCTTGAGAGGGTCATCTCAGAATCAGAAGACCACCCTGT